GAAACTTAGGGGGACGCCTTCGCCGATCAGCCAGCCAAGGAGGCTGCCCTAAGACCAGTGGGGCACTAGAGATCCTTCCTGTCCTTCCGGGGAAAAGCCTCCCCAAGGAGCCCTCCCACACCCAAGAGGAGGGAGAACTTGGACGGAGGCTCACCTGCAGCCAGGGGCCACGTGGCTGGAGGCTTCTCTCCGACGGGAGGATCCTCTTGCCTGCAGCCCTAGGCCGAGAGCTGATCTCTCAGCTCCAGCAGGGCACCCACCTGGGCCAGACTAAACTCCCCAGTCTCATAGCCTGGGACTTTTATGTCCCGAAGCAACAGATGGATAGAATCTGAAATAACGAGATGCCCTGCCTGGGCCCAAGTCAACTCTCACCCTCGGGAAACAACAGACCTCGGGACCCGAGAACGAGGCACAGCTCCTGGTGACCACTGTGAAATTGACCTTACTGAGGTCACCCCTGGCCAATACAGCTACAAATATCTGCTTGTTTTCATAGATGCTACTCCCGCTGGACTGAGGCTTTTCCTACCAAGACTGAAACTGCAACCACGGCAGCCCGCTACTGCTCTCTGAGATAGTCCCCCGATTTGGCATCCCTCTAGCTCTGGGGTCCGACGATGGCCCGGCACAGATTGCTCAAACCACAAAACTGTTAGTTTTATGGATTACTTAGAAATTGCATTGTGTCTGCAGGCCTCAGAGTCCAGGACAGGTAGAGAGAATGAATAGGACATTAAAGGAAACTTTAAGCTCCACCTCGAGACGGGCGACAACTGGGTAAGGCTCCTTCCTTTTGCCCTCCTTCGTGGGCGCTGTGCCCCTTATCTTAAGGGTTTCACCCCATTTGGAATCATGTTTGACCGACCTCCTCCTATTCTACCCAAAATCGGGAACGAGGTCTTAACCAACCTGGGTACCATGACCTCTTCAGCTCTTTGCAGGCAATCCAGAGGCTGAGGGAACAGACCTGACAGCTAATCAAGGACGCCAGACCCCAACCGGGGACACCCCAGATACCACCACACAACTTCGCCCCCAGTGATTGGCTCTGGGTCAAGAAACATCAACCTGCTTCCCTCGAGCCTCGCTGGACTGGCCTTTTCCTGTTGTCCTGACTATGCCCACCGCTCTGAAGGTAGCAGGATGGAAATTTGGATTCACCACACTCAGGTAAAGAAAGCACACCCTGAGCAAGTACCTGAACAATGAATGGGCCTTACAGCGGATGAGGATCCCCTGAAGATAAAGCTCTCCAGGGTTTTCTCCTAGTCTCTTTCCTGACTCTGATCACCAGTAAGGCACCTACCCAATTTAGATGCACTCAAGGGCGGCCACTGCTATGAAGGTTCGGCCCCCACCTGACCCTTGGGGACCTACAAGGACAGGGGGACATGTTTCATCATCGACCTAAGCTCTTCCCCTTATGTGAACTCATGCAGGGACACTACCACTCTAACCCCATTAAACCCCTCGTCACAAGAGATTTGGGTCCTACCTGCACCCCCTGGGCCTTGGTTTGCTTGCGCCTCAGGACTGACTCCCTGCATCTTTCCCCTTGAAACCAAAGACACGTAGTCTAACATTATTCCACAGGTTTCTTTGTTTAGCCTTAGGAGAAACCTCTTGCTTTTATGCTAACCACTCTGGTGTCATTAGGGAAAGCGTAAGCCTGCTCAGAAAGCAGCTGAGCGAACAAGAAAAAAGCCGTCAGCCTCAGCCCCCAAGAACTGGTATGAGGACTTATTCAGCTGGTCCCCATGGCTCACTGCCCTTTCGGGCCCCTTAATTCTCCTCCTGTTAATGTTAACCTGATTAATCGCTTAATGCAATTTATTAGGGAAAGATTACAGACTGTTAGGCTCGTGGTCCTGAGCACTCCTTACCAGAGACCAGCCCACGGCAGAAGAAATTGAAGACACTTTACAATCAAGGATTTGACTTAACCCTCAGACCAGTGGGGAATGTGAAGGACAAACACGTGCTATGTGAACATACAGTAAAAATTATTCCATTAAGCAAGAAAGGAGACATACATCAGCCAGAGTTAACCATTATATAGTATAGTTAATTCATCCCTCAGGTGCAACGGCTGACCGCAGGTATCTGCTTCTGTACGAGCTTGCTTGCCGCAAACCTTCAGCCCAATTCCTTCACAGGGGCTAAGACAACTATATAAGCAGCCCTCCCCCTGGGCTCCGTCCCGTGTAGGATGGGACCGTCGCCCCGCAGCTAATAAGGCTCTCTTAATTTGAACCCAGTTCGGAGTCTGAGTCTGGTTGTCTCGTTGGTTTACAATAGACTGACTGTAAAGTCAACATTCTCTGCTGTGACCACTGTACACAGGTGTCCCCCATAAATGTATTCAGGGTGTCTGTGGATTCTATTACATTTTGAAAAAGAAATGTATTTTAATAAACACTGGCTTTTAATTACATTTTTTTGTGTGCATACAATTTTTTTTGGCACACCCTGTATTCTGCTTTGTTAGCTTCAAGGTCAGCTAATGGTTGGACAGAAAATACCATCAGTGCCCTGAAATAAGGTCAGCTAATGGTTGGACAGAAAATACCATCAGTGCCCTGAAATAACTCCCGTCCTTAATGCAGTGAAGCACTCTGAAAGTCTTGAAGTACGCCCTCAACACTCCCACATGAAGTTTAAACTGCCTTCGCTTTCACTCCTGTGGGAAGAGCCTCGGCATCGCCTCGGCCTCGCCTGGAGTCTTGCTTTCTGTCTTGGGCGCGCACCCCGCCCTGCACGTGCCTGTGGTCCTCTGGATCCCAAGGAGCATCTTGGAGCTCTTACAAACCCGCCACAGGCATGCCGTCCCTCAGCTTTTCCTTGTGTCTCAGCCAGCCTCTTTTTAGCCCCAAGCGGTATCCTGCCTGCTGCTGTGTTAACCCTGCAGCTGCTTCTGCAGCCAATGGGGCTGCTTGTACAGAAAGGTGTCAGGTCAGAAAGAATCTGAGAAAGGTTCTCAGTGAGACACCAAAGAGGTCAAATTGTGGCAATTCCCTGGAATGGGCTTTTGGGGGTGCTTCAACCCCCTTCCCAGGCTATTAAACTGCTCGTTTTCACAGCTACTATAGTTACAAGGCTATTGTTTTCAAGTCTATTCTGAATCTGGGAAAACCATGATAGGGCAATTTAAAATGTACAAAACTTGTTAGTTTTTACTGAATAAACACTTTTTAGATTGTTAGAAGCCTTTGTTAATTTTTAGAGTTCTTAAAAGACTAATTTTGACAACTTCTATAGTTCTCCTTGCTCTTATGAGAGCAGGTTTTCAGTTAATTTCCTTTTTTTTTTTTTTCATTTGAATAGAGGGTTTTCTTTTCTTTTTTTTTTTTTTGAATTAATTGTTTTGTTACAGATGTTTCCTTTTTCACCCACTGATTCCCCCTCCTAATTTCCTTAATTACTTTAATTCAGAAGCATTTCAAGAAAGCTATTTTTATAGTTATAACAACTGCACACTAATGAATATATCCTTTTTATTATGTTTCTAAGATTAAAAAAGCAAGTATTTCTAAACAGAAATGTTATGGGGACTTTAAAAATGACTCCTTTTCTCTTCGGCATTTCAATTATTTCAAGTTTAGTTATCCCAGTCAGAATCCTGAGCCTGTTTTCTCAAATGTACAAGGAAAATACTATCTTCCTCACAGGATTCAGAGGGTTTAAAGTGATATGTAAAACTATTACAAAGCTACAGTAGTGAACACAGTATGGTACTGGCAAACGGACAGTCATGTAGTCCAATGGAATATCAAACCCAGAAATAAACCCTCACATATACAGTCAATTAACTTTTGAATAGGCTGCCAAGACAATTCAAGGGAGAAAGGGCAGTCTTTTCAACAAATGTTGCTGGGAAAACTGGACACCCAAATGCAAATAAAGTTAAATCTTTATACAAAACTCAAAATGGATCAAAAATCTAAATGTAAAAACTAAAACTATAAAACTCTTAGAAGAATACAGAGAAAAATGTTCATGATACTGGATTTGGCAATGCCTCCTTAGATACGGCACCAAAAGCACAGGCAACGACAACAAAAATAGGCAAGTTGGACTTCAACAAAATTTAAAATTTTTGTCCATCAAAGGACACTATCAAGAGAGTGAATAGGCAACCCATAGAGTAAGAAACCATTTGCAAGTTATGTATCTGATAATGGATTGATATCCAAAATATATAAAGAACTCCTACAATAACAAAAATAAAATAAATAAAAATAGGCGAAATACTTGGATACTTCTCCACGAAGATATACAAATAGCCAATAAGCACATAAAAAGATGCTTAGCATCACAAGCCACTAGGGAAAGGCAAATCAAAACCACGATAAAATAACGCTTTATACCCATTAGTATAGCTGTTAAAAACAAAAACAAGTGTTAGTGAGGAGATGGAGACCTTGGAATCAGTGTACTTTGCTGGTGGAAATGTAAAATAGTGTGGCCACTTTGGAAAACTGTGATTCCTTAAACAGAATTATCATACAATCCAGCAACTTTACTCCTAGGTATATACCCAAAAGAATTTAAAGCAGAGACTCGAACAGATCCGTACACAAAATGTTCATAGCAGCATTATTCACAACAGAAAAAAAAGTCCATCAATCTAAGTGTCCATCAGCAGATGAACAAAATGTGTATATACATACAATGAAATGTTATTCACCTTAAAAAGGAATGAAATTCTGATACAGGTTACAACATAGATGATACCTGAAAACATAAAATATGAAATAGACAGACAAAAAGAACAAATACTGTATGATTCTATTTACATAAGGTGACTAAAGCAGTCAAATCTGAAGAGAGAAAGAACAGAGGTTTCCAGCAGCTAGAGTTGAGGGAGGAAATGGGGATTTACCGTTGAACAGTCAAGTTAAGTTTGTTTGGGAAGATTAAAAAAAAGTTCAGGAAATAGTAGAGAATGGTTACACGATACTGTGAATGTACTTAATGACACTAAACTGTGTACTTAAAAATGATTAAAATGGTGAATTTGGTTACATATTTTACCATAATAAATTATTAAACGATAATGTATCTAAAGGCCTCACCACATTTGGTGAGCCTTTTGTTCCTCAGCTGAGATGGTGGTTACAGAATTTATTTAGATAATACTTTATAAAATCTTGGTTGGTAGTGATGATAAACAGCACCCACTCCAACACACACACCCACACACACACACATACACCATCACACTCAATACTTTATCAAATATGTATACTACCTATCAAATATCTATAGCTATAGTTTTCAAAGGACTGCACATCCAAATGAATTCACTAATGATACAGAGTTTACATCCCCCCAAAATGACAGATAAAAACACATACAATTCTCTAAGCACAAAGCTTATATTCACAAGTAACATTTTGCTTAAAGACAAAATTTCAATTAATAATCACAATGGGAATTTAGTTATTTAATGCAACCACTAATCTAATGTCACCAATAAAATCTAAACAGTTATATTGTAAAACCAAGGTTATATTGAGTGGACATGCATTAATAGTCTATACACTGTAACATTACACCAGAAAAAGTAATTGAATACAAAATTTCCCTTGATTTTTGGTGGTTTTCAAATTTTATGACACAGATTACCAAAAGAACTATAAAAACAAATTTTAAATATTTTCAGTAAAATGGTAAAAAACTGAATACGCTGTCAAGTGTTCAAATTGGGCTCAAGATTTAAAACCTCACGCTGGCCCCAATCTGTCAAAAATGACAGAAATAGTTATAATGACTAGTTAGGTTTTAATTACAATGGTTTTAGAGGACTAGTCTCCCCTGGCATAAACCCTTTAGGGTTACTTTCTCAATGCAAACAGGTCTTTGTAAATACTGTGATATCAACTTGGAAACATACCTGTAATCAGAACAGGGATGAGAAATAACACACAAGTCCATCTTATTTCTGACCTGCCATCATAAAGCCTTCTGGGTCCAAACGACGAACACTGTCCCTCAATATAAAACCAAATTAAGAAGAGAATGACTTACCCTCTGGCTAACATTCTTCTACAGAATTACCTTTTACTGCATATCAAGGCAGGGCTCAAGCTCTGTTAACTTGCTTCTCCAGAGTGTAACAAGCAGAGCACCAACTTAATAACCCTATATACGGCAACCCAAAAACGAAACACTTTTCAAACAAAGGCAAACATTTTTTCCCCACTATTAGTTCTGTGTGTCACGTTATTCTTCACTTACATAGTTAACCACTTAAAAAGAATTGGGGAGGCTTTGAACATATCTTGTACTTTTTCATCAAGGCTAAAGTGCAAAATATCTCCATATCTCTGGTATTTTAATAGGAAAAATCATCAAACATACATAATAAAGGAACTGAAGTGACAGAAAAACTAATACAAAAAAAGACTTCTTTAAATATATACTTGGAGACTACATAAGACCAATATAATATTACTTTCTTCAGTGAAATCTGTAAATGAACCAAGTTCTCACTGAACTTGAGATTTTATTTGATTCTCTTTCCCAAAATCAGAAATTCCAAAATTAGAGGGGAGAAAAAAGGAAAAAAATAACATTGCATGACAATAGACACTAAGTTCATAAGGAATCTTTTTTTAAAAAATGAGATATTATGGAAAAAAATACCATGAAAACAATAATCCTATGAGAATTGATTTTTAAACACAGTAAATTTGAGCCTTGGTCTTCATAAGATACTACAGCTTATATAGAAAACTATAAATATACAAGACTCCAGGAAAAAACATCAAAATACATATTATTTCACATTCTGTAAGGCCTAAACTTTTGAAGGGAGGAAAAGGGATGGCCAACTGAATCTTAAGAATAGAGAACCATGCCCTGGCTGGTGGCTCAACTGGTTAGAACACTGTCCCGTTGTCCCGTATACCAAAAGGTTGCATGTTCAATTCCTGGTCAGAGCACATACCTAGGTGGCAGATTCCACCTCCAGGCGGGACAGTATAGGACAACTGATCAATGTCTCTCTCTCTCCCCTTCCCTTCTGCTCTCTCTAAAAATTGATAAAAACATATCCTCAGATGAGGATTAAAAAAAAAGAATACAGAACTATGAAAGTTCCTGGGTCAAATGGTACTCCAAATGAAACCATACTTTGTAAAGACATACAACTTAGATATATTTTTAAAAGGAAAGAATAAGTTCTGAATAACTGCAATCCCTTCCAAAAAGGAAATCTTAAATTAAGGGGAAAAGATTCTAATAGTGTAAACAAGGCTGGCTCAGGAAGAAAGCTGAACAACATATCCAAGATACTGTCCATAAAAGTAATGATGATACATCTTTAATAATAAAGAAATAGGCTATAAAAAAGTTCATTCTCCAGATTGGTTTTAGTAAAAGCTCATTTGTGCTCCTTTGTGGGTGCATAATAAAGTTCCATGGGTTTGTTCACTTTCCAGTATTTCTCACTGACCAATTCCAAAGGAAAAGAGCCATTTAATACCTAAAACAAAAACAGAGAGAAATAATTATGAAAACTGCTCAAAGCACAGTAATAGTGAGATGGAACATAGAAGTCCACCTTAAAAAAAATCTTAGGATAAACTTCTTGTCACTTATACTATTCATAAAACATATCAAAGAGTTAAATAACTACCCTGCCCTGGCTGGTGTGGCTCAGTAGTTAGAGTGTCGGGTTTGATTCCCAGTCAAGAGTACATACCTGGGTTGCAAGTTCAATCCTGAATCCCTGGCCTGCATCCAGGTGTGTGCAAGAAACAACCAATTGATGTGTCTCACATCACATCGATGTTTCTCTCTCTCTCTCTCGTCCTCCCTCCCTCCCTACCACTCTAAAAATCAATGAAAAAAATCCCTGGGTGAGGATCAACAACAACAAAAAATGTTAACTACCCTGTTCTCTTTCTCTTGGGGTGTCAGGATCCTGTCCTGTACCATTTTATTAGGCCCCACCCCACAACCTCCCACTCTCAGATGGTCAATGCACTCCTAGTTTCTAAATACTCACAGTGAACTGCCCACTGGCTGTTGCTATGTAAATGGTATACTGCTTCTCACTGGCTGTATCAAGGTTCATCTGGTTTGATTCTCCTTTGCTCCGAAGTTCTTCTAAAGCTAATCTCACAGCCAGATACTTGGATAAGTGATCAACAGTGGCATTACCAGAAGTCTTTATATATCTGGAAAAATCAATTATTAGAAATTTAATTTCTAGATTGATGAAAATGTACTTAGGTTATAGAGCTAATACATTTCTATAAAATGTAAATGTCTTAATTATTGACAAAATAGTATCAAAAATTTATTCATCTATTATCTAAAAATTTCTTATTGTAAGTAGACTATCTACCAGGCCACAAAAACATCTATAAAATATGATATAAAATGACAAAAATAAAACAAATATACACACAGTACTGAGGAAAAAGAACACACCCCTAAACCCCAATGATCAAAATTCTGCTGTGTTCAGCAGCAACAGTAGTAAGAATATGACCAATTTCTTATTCATCAATTTCTGATGTTTTAAGACTCAGCATAAAAGTGCTAATCTTGTGTTTTGAAGCTTGGTATTCTCATCAATTACTCAATGAACAAATATCTGATGCTGATCTGTACTCAATGGCAGGTGGCATGCTGAGATACAGTGGTCAAGTGGCCAAGCACACCAGCATAAATTATGGAGCCTACTGACACACCAGTACCATTGTTAAGAAATTTAAACGATCCTTTTTCCTCCTCTACAGAGGAAGGTCATTCCTTTCAGATATGTAAGTGTGGATGGGAAACATGGAGGAATAAAACCACCTAGGCAGCAAGAATATCCAAATGGCCCTGGCCGGTTTGGCTCAGCGGTTAGAGTGTCGGCCTGCGGTCAAGAGAGACCTGGGTTCAGTTCCCACTAAGGGCGTGTACCTCGGTTGCGATTTGTATCCGGCCCTGGTTGGTCATATGGGTGGCAGCCACTCAATGTGTCCCTGTCATGTCAATGTTTCTCTCTCCCTCTCTCCCTTTCTCCCTCTCTCTCCCTCCCACTCTATCTGAACAAAAAATAGAAAAAAAATGTCCTCGAGTGAGGATAAAAAAAAAAATCCAAATGAACCCTGCAAGTCAACTGGATGACAAATATTGTACTTACTTCTTATACAAAATTGCCTTTAAACTCCCAATTAAATTTTCTGAATTCAGATCATCTAAAACCAACCCACACACTTACCTGGTCTGTGCACTGTCATCTTTTTCCATCAGTGTGGGATGAGGCCTGAATACTAACTCAATTTCACTAGCACCATCCATTACTGGATCGATGGCCACTGCTGCATTGTTGTTATCAAGCTCGAGCCCAGAATCATCTGATGTTTTGGTCCGTTTGTTACTAGGCCCTGCTTCCTGGTTGCTGTGTGTGGATGCATTGCTACAGTGAGAACTGTCGCCATTGTCTTCTGCTCCACTGCCATTTTCAATCTGTTGTTTCTTGCCTCGTTGTAATCTAGTTAAGGAAACAAAAGAGGGATGCAGAAAATTTACATTTAGGCCTTTTTAATACATTGGTTTTGAAGCACGTTTACTGAACATTAGCATTCTTAAAAAATCTTAACTAAATTTGGTCCAAGCTAGATAATGGCATTTACTTCCCTCGTGTCCCTGAAAGGTCCTAAAGAACCTCACTCATACACAGGCAAACACTTAAATAACTGAAACAAATGTTTGTATTCACTCAGTAATTTTCTTTAATGACTATAGGAATGATTGGCAATCCTTATTTATATGTTGATACATTTTTTGTTATGAGATTTTAAATCTAAAGAAAGGCATGATTCAGATATAAAAATTAGAAAGTTCTGAGGGAATATATTTATGCCTCTATTTTAATTAGAAATTCTTACAGAATCAAAATTTAAGAGGAATGGTAAGAAAATCTGTTGACCTCACCCAAAGTCTGCCAATGAACTGCAAAATCATTCTAATGAGGAAAATGAGATGGTATCTAAATACAGAAGCAGCTCTCTAAAAATCTCAAATACTAAAAACCAGTAACTGAGAAAGGCATTTTGCATATATATCTTATTTACTCGACAAAACCATTGTCAAGGTATTATCATCATTTTATTGTTCAGAAAACTGACGAAACTGAGGTTTAAGGCCCATGGCTATAAGCTAGTAAACACCAGAACTAGAGCTAGGATATGATAAACACTGTCCCTTTCTCTACCAGTATATAAAAGAAAAAATGAGATATATGATGAAAAAGGAATATGAAAGAATGATATACATTTCTAAAAAGTGTCATCAAATGTTTATTGCCAGAGCAAGAAAATAATAGCTCACTGCTTAAAAAAGATGCTCAAGAAATCTTTAGTTTTTTTTCCCTCAAAAAAGAAAAAAGTACTGCTTATAAAATATATAGATCACTTCAAAACTGAGAAGGGATGACTAATATATAAAACAACAAAACTATGATTCAAAAAGATAAGAACACATACAATGGGATAACAATGTCTTAAAAAGGAAGGAAATCCTGCACATGCTACAACATTGATGAACTCTGAAGACATGATTCTGAGTGAAATAAGCCAGTCACAAAAGGACAAATACCTATGACGATACTTATATGAGATGTTTAAAGTAGTCAAATTCATAGAAACAGAGAGTGGTGATTACTAGGGAGCTGAGAAGAGAAGGAAACTCAGAATTATTGTTTAATGGGTACAGAGTTTCAGTTTTATAAGATGAAGAGTTCTAGAAACTGGTTGCACATCAATGTGTATGTACTACTGAACTATCTACTTAAAAATTGTCAAGATGGTTAATTTTATGTTAATCACAATTAAAAAAAAAAAAGAACAGGCCAAAACAATAACACAAACAAAAACTCAACATTGAAATGTAAGGGCTTTACTTAAATATTTCCTAAAATTTACAACTAAAGCAAAAGAAAAGTTATTTTAGTTGACTATAAAGTAACTAGCAGGGTTACTTGTCCTAATTCATTTATTTTTATCCCACGCTTTTCAAAACAAAAGTTTGAAGTGACAGAGCTGGATTAATTCATTTTAGGTAGCTTTCATGGAATGGTGTTGGGCCCTGGCCGGTTTGACTCAGTGGCTGGAGCAAAAGTTCAACTGCAGTTTGGTCCCCGGCCCTGGTCAGGGTCATGCAGGAGGCAACCAGTCAATGTGCCTCTCTCACATCAATGTTTTTCTCTTTCTCTTTCCCCCTCCCACTCTATCTGAAGATAAATGGTAAAGTGTCCTCAGGTGAGGATTCAAAAAAAAAAAAAGCTGGTTTGGATAAGGGACATCAATAGCCTATTATACTCTACATTTGTCAAATCATATCTGTAATACCACAGACTATTCTAGAGGTAGCATTTCAAGAATTATACTGACAGACCTGAATGTCACATGAGGAACAATTAGAAATGTGAATATTTAGCCTTCAGAGGAGCATAAAAATGTATATTTATATGAAATTATTTGAATAGTAGAAAAAAGCAGGATCTGAAATTAAGTATAGAATCCAACTAAGGTATTTTGACAACAACAGACCAAGTTTGCTGCACACAAGAAACTAATTTTATTTCACTATAAACAAAAAACTTAAAAAAAATATATCCATGCATTCGAAATATTTATTAAGCAGCTACTTTAAGCCAAGCATGGTTCCATGTCCCGGTGTTATAAGAATCAATAATACTGACACAGTCTCTACACTCTGAGGGTTTATATTATTTTAGTGCAGTAGATAATTGATAAATGTCAATGAAAAGTGCTGTAGAGAAAAAAGAGGCAGGGAGGTTAAGGAAGTAGAGAGTCCTGAGGTGAAAGAGGGAAGGAGCAGACTCCTGAGGAAAGTGAGCGAGTGTGCCATGAAGAGGAGGGTTCCTGAAAGAGAGAACATCAAGTACCAAGGTCCTGAGGCAGAAGCAAGCTTGATGAGTTTGAAGAAGAGTAAGAAAGCTGTAATACCCTGGTTGGTTTGGCTCAGCGGTTAGAGCGTCAGCCTGCGGACCAGAGAGACCGGGGTTCCTTCCTGCTAAGGACACGTGCCTCGGTTGCAGTTTGTCTCCGGCCCTGGTTGGTCGTGAGGGAGGCAGCCACGATGATATTTATCTCTCTCTCTTCCTCTCTCTCCCTCAACAAAAAAATGTTTAAAATGTCCTCAGGTGAGGATTAAAAAACAAAAAGAAAGCTGTAATAAAGTTGTCAACAAATGAAAGGAGCTCCTAACACTTACTCCCACCACTAGAAATGTGTGCACAAAATCTAGACTAGCCGTAAATAAAAGGTTTTGCAAAGAGAATTCTTTCTCCAGGTAAAAAACTAAGTTAAACAACCATTAAAGTCTCTCCAACTCTCAGGATTGTGTAACTCTTAAAATAAATGCATTCAAAATTTGATACTTTATAACTATGTATGGTATAAGTGGGTGGGTACTGGAAATAATTGGGTGGGGAGACACTTTGTAAAGTATATGACTGTCTAACCACTATGCTATATACCTAAAACTAATATATAACAATATTAAATGTACACTGTAATTGAAAAGCATTTTTTTAGTGTAATGCTTTACCTAAGTACAACTGCAGGTCAGTTTAATATAATTAGAATGGAGCCCATCTTTTAACCTCTATGCAGTGGTTAAAAACTGTACACCACTCCTGGAACCTTAGAAATACTGATGCCTGGACCCCAATCAGAGATTCTGATTTACTTGGTCTAAATTTAAAAGCTTTCCAAGTGACTCAGCCAAGATGAGAACTACTAAATATGGATGGGACTCTATTGGCATCTCCTACTTTGGAAAATGATGAGGCCTGAGTATATTAGGAGATGTCACAGAGGAAAAGACAATGGGATGAGAAGGCGTCCAGATTATGTAGGGTCTTAGAAGCCATCATTAAGGTCTTTTAACCTGAATGTTAATATCTGTTAGAGACTTCAAAGCAAACAAGAACCATGATTCGACTTTCAGTTTTACAAAATCACTCTGGCTGCTGTGCTGAGAATAGATTATGTGAGGGTAAGAGTGGGAAAGTATAAAGACTAATCATGTGGCTTTTACAGTACTTCAAATGAAAGACAGTGGTGGCCTAGACTCATCTAGATACAATACAGAGAAAGATAAAAATATACTTATTCACAGAATGGAATATGGAACGTGAGAAAAAAAGTGTGCTGTTGAGTGTTAAGGGTAGCCAAAGTTTTTACCTAAAGCAAGTTTTTAGGTAAGTTTTTTAAATACTTTCACTTACTAGTGAGCTCTCATATTTAAAAAAAATTTTTACTTATTGATTTGAGAGTGGGGCAGGGAGAGGGAGAGAGAGAAACATCGATTTCTTATTTCCACTTAGTTGTGCACTCACTGGTTGATTCCCGTATGTGCCCTGACCAGGGATCAAACTGGAAACCTAGCACACTGGGATAAATGCTCCAGACAACTGAGCTACCTGGCTAGGGCTATGCATAAGAAACAGCTAATAACATATGAAAGGAACCAGGAAAATATGGTCTCCTGAAAACCAGGTGAAGAAAACTGTTCAAAGAGAAATTAATTTGTTAAATGTTGCTAAGTAAGATGGAGCCTGAGAATCGGCAATTAGATTTCACAATGTAGACACCACTGCTAACAGTTTTTTAAAATAATTTTTCTTTAAAAAAAATTTTTTTTTTCTTTATTGATTTGAGAGAAAGAATGTCGATGAGACAGAACATCGACTGGCCACCTCCTGCATGGCCCCCACTGGGGATCAGGCCTACAACCTGGGCATGTGCCCTGACTGGGAATCAAACTGGCAACCTCTTGGTGCATGGGTCAGTGCCCAAACATTGAGCCACTCCAGGCAGGTGTCACTGGTAACTTTTAATAAAGGTGATATGAGTAATGAAAACCTGCCTACAGAGGGTTCAAAACGAAATGGGAGAAGTAGAGATTTACTGTAAACATAGACAACTCTTTTTTTTTTTTAATCCTCACCCGAGGACAGTTTTTCATTTTTTTGTTGAGAGAGAGAGAGAGAGAGAGAGAGCGAGCGAGAGAAACATCGACATGAAAGGGACACACTGAGTGGTTGCCACCTGCACGACCAACCAGGGCCGGGGACAAACTGCAACCGAGATACAAGCCCTTAGTGGGAACCGAACCCGGGTCTCTCTGGACCACAGGCTGACGCTCTAACCACTGAGCCAAACCGGCCAGGGCCATAGACAACTCTTTCAAGAAGTTTTGCTACAAAAAGAAGAGGAGAAAACAGAATAGCAGGTAAGTGGGAGGAGAAGTGGTTATAAAAGAGGGTTTTCTAAAGTTCTAGTATTTAAATGAAAACATTTAAATGATACCTGGAGGCATATATCACACTTGCATGAAAATGTAGTTAACACAGAACTACTATTTATTACTGTATTTTCTCTTTTTCAAAATGGAAGCTGTTAAGTAAATTAAAGTTTTGAAAATAATGGCCATCCTTTCTGGTCATCTTCCCCATATACCTGTTCATGGCCTGTATCTTTAGTCCTTCCTCAATGCTGTGACTGAGTGCTTGCTGGTTATTGTGCTTGTTGATCCTGGCTAATACTCTCTCTTGATGAGCTTCATATTCATCACGACTTGGATAAATTTTGCTGATGAGTGCATCAAAGTTTGGGTCTGGCCTTAGTGATCTTTTGGAAACTAGCTTTTTCCGACATGTAGGACATTCTTTATTGCTAAATAAAAAGAGAGAAAAAACAATGTAAACAATGCCAGTATCTTTAGGCTACAGACAAAAATATCTAGCTTCTGGAATAGTTATTATCTTTATTCTAATTTTCTTAAAAATCTTAGTAGGTAAACAAGATTTTGGAAATCTCAGGTATGCTATACTATTGCCTAAAGAAAAATTTGAATATTCCCAACAATAACTTATATATAACCATTTAGAAATAGAAATCAATTCTTTCCTAATATAAATTCCCCTTTCTGATACCCATGAAACACAAGAAAAAAAATAACCACCTATACTGTATATTAATTTACATGTTATCAATTCTTTTATTAAAACAGAATTCATAATGATATTTTGTATCCCTAAGAAGTAGAAAAACCATGGTTTCATGCTGTGTAATTTTCTCAAAATAAATGCACATTCCATAAATCTTTTAAAATTGTATAGTCAACTATTTCAAAACAAAGATTCTCAAATAATTAAAACCTAGACTTTAGAAAATTTCCCAATTCTCAAATAAATACTCCTAGAGAATGTTTTTCTCAAAACCAATAGAGCACTGTCCTGGTATAACTGAAGTACCTAATATTACTCATTTCAACATACCCACTTCTGAGGGCTGTGATGATGCAGTCTGCACAAAAACGATGTAAACACTCCTTTGTAGTCATGGTGTTCTTCAACATATCCAAACAAATTGGGCACATTAATTCACTGTGCAGACTTCGAGGTGAAACCACGATTTCCAAGCCATCTGTTATTGCCTCCTGTAAAAGAGGCAATTTAAAATTTAAATGTTAAATGCTACCTGTATTTTTATTATGGATAAGTTCAAATATACAAAAGTACTGAGAATTACAAAAATGAACATCTACATACGCATCACTCAGCCACTACCACTGTCAACTCACAGCCAATCTTGTTCCGGTACAATTTTCCCCATTTCCCTTCACTCCCCCAACTCTGCATTATGTAAACGCTCTTATTTTAATGCTAAAGATAACATATTAATAATGTATTCAAAAGACAACTAATAGTAAATTAGCTGGTATAATTAAAAAAGCATTGAATGTGGAATCAGATGCCTTAGGTTCTAGTAGCCATATTAACTAGCTATATGGCTCTAAATAACTATTTAACATTGTTTCTTATCCTGCAAAATGAGGAAGTTAGGCCTAAATAAAACCTAAGAATTCTTCCATCGCAAATTATACCATTTTGATAACACAGTGGCCCTTGTTATCTGTGGTTTCACTCTCTGAGGTTTCAGTTAGCTACAGTCAACCACAGTCCAAAAATACTAAATGGAAAATTCCAAAAATAAAAAATTCATAAGTTTTAAATTATGCACTGTTCTGTATTATGATGAAATCTTTTATTATTCTGTTCCATCCCACTTGAGATGTGAATCATCCCTTTGTCCAGCATATCCACACTGTATATGCTACCCTTGACTTAGAAGTCTTCTCAGTTATCAGATCAACTGTCTCAGTATCTAAGTGCCTGTGTTCAAATAACCCTTATTTTACTTCTTAATGGCCCCAAAGCACAAGATTAGTGATGCTGGCAATTCAGATATAACAGAGACGCAATAAAGTGCTTTCTTTAAGTAAAAAAGTGAAAGTTCTTAATAAGGAAAGAAAATACCATATACGGAGGTTACTAAGGGCTATAAGAAGGAATCTTCTAGCCGTGAGACTAGCTAATTTGTAAGTTTAACTTTACCATAGGTATGTTTGTACAGGAAAAAAGAACAGTATATAAAGGGTTCAGTACTATCTATGTTTTCAGGAATCCACTAGTTGTCTGGAAACGGAATCCCCATGGATAAGATGGGACTATTGTAAACCATACATTTCATGCCATCATGTATGTCCACAGACGAAATTTTACATAAAGTAGTCAGGTTCTTGGGCTAACTGATTTAAGCCATAGTACACCTGAAGTATAACAAGTATTAGCATTCCTACTTGTCAGGTCTAAAAACTGTTACAGTGAGAAAATGCATTTGGAGTTCCAATGTACACATCATCTCCCAGCTAGAGAGAGATTACTGACTCCTACTCTTCTCCACCACCACCACCCATTCTTCCTACAAGGTGGCCCTGAGAATAAATTACCTAGCTCTAAAGCCACCATTACTGGCTACCGTGGAATAACAAGAGAGGTCCAATAATTAATATTGAAAAGGAAGATGCAAGTAGAAATAATGTGTTTCCCATATGCTAATGACACTTCCTTGTTTCCACTGCCTCTCCACCATACTTGTTTTTTCTACACGGTCAAATATTGATGACTCCAAAGGAAAGACATAGATATTACAGATATTGTCCATAAAGAATGCAAGTAAAATATATTTACATTTACAGTAACTACCATCAAGTGTCTATTACATTTCAACCTCTTTACATAAAGCACTGTCTACATTTTATTTTACTTAATTTAATATATACACAAACTTCTGATTTAGGAATTATAACCTCTGATGAGGAAATAATCAGAGAATGATGATGACTCAGCTACTAAGTCTGTCCTCCTCTTCCTGATTAGAAAGAACTTGCACAGCAATATCCCAACCCTGGATACTCAACCAACCATGTTCTCCATGCTTGTACCTGTGCAGGTATGTAGCACCGAGGGGAGAAAACAGGGTGAATCTCACAACCAGACTGATACATCTCACTAAAACCTTCACCAGCCTCAAATGGGTGTTCGACACTGCTCAGCAATTGGTTTAACAAACTCATTTCTCCTTTCACTACACTACTGTACCTTTTCTTCTATCTGCAGACCTTCTCCACCTGAACATTTAATACATTACTTCAAATTTCACTTTTAAAAAAACTCTCTCATTTTTTCTCTATGAAATATTTATAAATCATCTTCTTTCTTGCTATAAGGAGAAAGTGTGCCTCCTCCTGTCAAAAGTACATTCCTTCCTACCTTCTCAAGTATGTCACCGATTTGACTATTCTATGTGTTCTGACTTCCGCAATCTCTCCTCTACTAAATCAGCCTACAATAGTATCCCCACAGAGTTGCTGCATAGAAATGTGAATAATGCACTTTGGGGCGGGGGGTCAGAGATAGGGGAAGGGGTCAACATGGCTCTCACATCTTATAAAGAAAACAAAATTTACAACTTCCCACTTCTGTGTTCCCCTCTAGCTTTTACTCCATGTCTCTGCTCCTCTGCAGAGCCAAACTTCTCTGAAGAATTGCCTATGCACTTTCACTTTCCCCCCTTCAAGACAGCAGCACAATCTACTCAAATGAATCTCTTGTCAAAGCCACCAAGTATATATTACCAAATATAATGTATTTTTTTGTAATGTTCATCTTATTCATCTTCTCAACAGGTTTGAAGACAATAACCGCATCCTCATCCTTCAAACACTACTTCCTCTTAGATTTTGTCCCCCTCTTCTATTTTTCCTTACTTTCCTCTGGCTGTTCCTTCTCTGTCACCTTTGCTGGCTACTTGTCTATTACTTAATTTCGAAATGTTGAAGCTCCTCTGGATGATGTTCTGGGCTCTCTCTCTCTCTCTACGTGATCTTATCCATTCAGATTGCTTTAAATGTGCTAACAATTTCTAAAAGTTAATATTTAGCCCAGATCCCCTAGTTGGCATCTCTGCCTGCCTGTGTTATAGGCATCAAAAACTTAAAATTAGTTCAGTTTTAAGTATGCTTATCTCCTTCAAGCCCGCTTCCTCCTCCCTAGTCTTTCCCATCTTTACCTTCTCAAAATAGTCGTCCCTACTTCCCCTATTTATTACAGCACTGAGGACTTTTCCTTTACCCAACCTTTCAAATGTGTAATTCTATGGATATTTATTTAATATCTGCAAAACTCTAAGGGCTGGTGCTACATGTTTTATTCACCACTTCACCTAGTGCCTAGCTTAGGACCTGGTAGAGTACACAAATTATTTGTTGAGTAAACGAATAAAGTGTCAACCAAACACACATAAGCCAAGACTACTTGTATATGTTATCAGTTATGTTCTTTCGAGTTTTCATTTTCTAAAAATGTATCCCAATTTACACATGTCTCATATTTCCCTAAATTACCTTAGTCGACATTACCTGAGGTGTTCGTTGTAATTCATATAAACTGAGTTCCCATGTTTTGCTTAATGGTTGAGTTCCGTTTGTCTGCACAGCCTGAGACATTGCTGGGAATAAAAAGGAAAGAAAAACAATTTTAGTGTCTGAAAGGGAAATATATTTCAAAAGTTGTTTTTAGGAACTGTAAATCCTGAGAATAAAAAAGATACAAATTATACACTGGCTCCTCAAAAATTAAAAAGAATCTCTCCATTTTATAAATATGCGCTCCTAGAAAGCAAGAGAGACTACTATCACTGATCTCTGAATGCCCAAAAGCTGGCACACAGAAAGTACTTAATTAAACTGTCTTAACCAAAAATAATACTTTTTAAAAAATTCATAGTCATAAAACTTTGAATTAAATCAGGAAAACTTCAGACTCTACAGCATGGTCATCTAGTTCAACTTTTATCAAAGAGACAAAATCTGCTTTCTAGCACTTTAAGCCACTGGTCACTCTATTCTTTTTTTTTTTTTATCCTCACCCGAGGACATTTTTTGTTCAGATAGAGAGGGAGGGAGAGAGAGGAACATCAACGTGAAGGGACACATCAAGTGGCTGCCACCCGCACGACCAACCAGGGCCGGGGACAAACTGCAACCAAGGTACGTGCCCTTAGCGGGAACCGAACCCGGGACTCTCCGGACCACAGGCTGACGCTCTAACCGCTGAGCCAAACCGGCCAGGGCATATTCTTCTTCTTTTTAATCCTCACCCAAGGATATTTTTCTGTTTATCTTCAGATAGAGTGAGAGGGAGGGAGAGAGAGAGAGAGAGAGAGTAACATTGATGTGAGAGAGACACATCAACTGGTTGCCTCCGCATGACCCTGACCAGGGCTGGAGATGAACCGCAACCAAAGTACGTGCCTTTGACCTTAATTGAACCCACGACTCACTGGTCTGAGGCAGACCTCCAACTGCTAAGCCAAATGGTCACTCTGTTCTTAACAAGCCCTGCACTCAGGAAAAACTGGTTATCCAGAACCTAACCTGCAAGGCTATTATGCAAAACCTAACTGACCTGGGGAAGGGAACTACCCAACTCCTGCCTGTTCTAGCCATCCTGTCCCCACCTACTGGGGAGAGAGAGGGAGGGAAAAAACTAAGACCACTTGTAAACTGCACACAGTCCAAAGGGACAGGCTCACTGAAAGACTGGAACTTCATTATAGGACTATAGAGCCTGTCCCCTCTCCCCACACTTCACCACATTATTACTAAAGGCCTGTTCATACCAGTTCATTTTACACGGGGCATCATGTCCTGCTATCTAAAAAAAATTATAAGGCACACCAAAAGGTAAAAAACAAAATTTGAAGAGACAAAGCACATGTCAGAACTAGACATGGCAGGGATGCTGAAATTATCAGACTAGGTACTTAAAACAACAATGATTAATATGCCAAGGGCTCTAATGAATAAAGGAGACAGCACACAGGAACACATAAGCAATGTAAGCCAAGAGACAGAAATCCTAAAGAGAACCAAAAAGAGATACTGAAGTTCAAAACCACTGTAACAGACATGAAAAATGCCTTTGATGGGTTTACTGGTAGTCTGGATAAGGTAAAGGAAACAATCTCTGAACCTGAGGCTATACCAACAGAACCTCGAACACTGAAACACAAAAAGAACAAAGATGGAAAAAAAGAAACACACACACACACACACACACACACACAGAATACAATATCCAGAGACAGTGGGAGAACTACAAAATTTTTAACTTCTGTATAGTGGGAATACCAAAAGGCGAAGAGAGAAAAGAACAGAGACTATCTGAAACCATAATGACTGAGAATTTCCCCTAAATGAAAGTCAGATACCAAACCACAGTTCCAGGAAGCGCAGATTACCAAGCAGAATAAATGCTAAAACAAACAAACAAAAAAAAACCCCCAAAACCCTACACCTCAGCATATAATTTTCAAATCATAGAAATGTAAAGATGAAGAAAAAAATCCTGAAAGAAGTCAGAGGAAAAAGGTTTATACTTGGTTGAGTAGAAAAAAGTAGATGCAAAGTACAAAGTATGTCCCATGCTTGGGACTTCCTTGTTTTGTATTATAGTTTCTTACATGCCTATCCCAGTGACTTAAATGACTTAATATATCTTAATATTTTCTCCTATATCCATAAATGAGCCTACTTTGTAATGAGCTTGCTTTTCAATGAAACTTAAATAAATGACTGAGATAGGGCATTTAGAAAGGAAAAAAAAGGAACCTTAAATGATACATAAAAGGGAAGAATTACTGATTACCAATGCTGTTCTTATATGATTTAACTACGGATATTGAAAGTGGAGTATGTATATGTTCTCCTCAATTACATAAAAGCTTTCTGGGGGCTATATATAGAACTTGGTTAGTTTTAAGATAATTTAATTTCCTGATTATCAATTTTCCTGAAGCACTTTTACCAGAATTGATCTGCCTAAGAAGAGGCCCATTTCTCCTCAACCTAATTCTTTCATAAGATTATCTATCATTCATTTACTCATTCAAATATTGATTATCTACTGCACCCCATGCACTGTATGAAGTGCTATGAATAAGAGCAGTAAACAAGACAAATATGCATACAATAAATTAAAATTTTCTTAAGTGCTATACAAAAGATACAAAGAAAGAGCACTGAGTTCTATAAGAAGAAAAGGAGCGTCCTGGCCAGTTTGGCTCAGCGGTTGAGCGTCGGCCTGTGGACCAGAGAGTCCTGGGTTCGGTTCCCGCTCAGGGCACGTACCACAAAAAAAAAAGAAGAAAAGGAGCTATTTAAGATAGGGGTGTCACAGAATAACTTTCAAAGGAACAGACATGTTAAAATACAGAAAGGTTAGTGTGGTTGGTAAGTAAAGGGGTAAAAACACGAGAGATTACAGAGAGGCCACAATGGTGCTCTTCCCAAGAATCAAGTGGAGTTAAGTAGAGGAGCAAAGCCATATTGGAATGGGTAAAAAGGAAATTAAAACGAAAATAAGTTCTTCATAAGTGAGTAAAATGAAAATACTACCTTATTGAAAAATATGAGATGTGTAATGAGAAAGCTCCCTCATTTTTTTTAAAATAATTTTTATTGATTGATTTTTTATATAGAGAGATAGAAACATCGATTAGAGAGAACATCGACTGGCCGCTCCTGCACACCCCCCACTAGGAATCTGGCCCACAACCTGGGCATGTGCCCTGACCGGGAATTGAACTGACGACCTCTTGGTGCATGGGTCGACGCTCAACCACTGAGACACACCGGCCGGGCAAAATCTCCCTCATTTTTAAATTGTTTATTTAAAAATATAACAATTTTTAAATAATAAAACCATAAAGATTGAAAAAAAAAAAAAAAAAAGAACACAGAAATTAGAATATAAACCTAAAGGGGGAAATGATCACTATAAAAGCATAAAGCAAATAGAAACAACAAAATACAAAAACAAATGGACTTGTTCACAAAAGCAAGATTTTTGAAGATTCCTATTTGTTAAAAAGTCAGGAGCAAAACAAGACTGCCCTACAACATTCTGGTGAAAGTCTTAAATAACTCCACCAAAAATTTAAAAAGAGAGAGAGCCCTGGCTGGTTGACCAAAGAGTCGTGGGTTCAATTCCGGTCAAGGGCACGCATACCTCGGTTGTGGTTCAGTCCCTGGCCCTGGTTGGGGTCGTGTGAGATGCAAGCAATCAATATGTCTCTCTTACATCAATGTTTCTCTCTCTCCTCCTCCCTATCTGAAGTTAAATGGAAAAATATTCTCAGGTGAGGATTGAAAAAAAAAAAGAGAGAGAAACACTGGAAAAAGAAATGACAAAAGTATCAGCTACAGCCCTGGCCGGTTTGGCTCAGCGGGGTTGGAGAGTCAGCCTGCGGACCAGAGTGTTCCAGGTTCAGTTCCCACTAGGCCCTAGCAGCTAAGGGTATGTACCCCCCCCAAAAAAATATATCAGCTACAAATAACATAACCTAGAAAATCTAGTAGAATCAAATGAAAAACATACCCCCCAAAAGCCATATATCTCCTATAAACCAGGAATAACCATTCAGAAATGTATTAAAACAAGAAAAGATGTCATAAGAAAATTTAAAGGATAAGCAACAGATAGGGAGAAAATATCTGCAATATATTATAAACAAAGGCCAATATGCATAACCTCCCCCAAAGTAATTTAAAAAACAACTCAACTTCCGGTCAAGATGGCAGCGTAGGTAAACGCAGTATCGCGTCCTCCCACAACCACATCCAAGTTACAACAAAACTACAGAACAACCATCATTCAAAACCACCTGAAATCAAGCTGAATGAAAGTCCTACAACTACGGAATTAAAGAAGCTGCATCGAGACTGGTAGGAGGGGCGGCGGCGCGACGGGCTGGTCCCACACCCACGTGTGGCAGATAAAAATCAGGAGGACACCTCGGCTGGGAAGGTCCTTCCTGAGGATTGAGGGGTCCCCGTCCCACACCAGGTGCCCCGCTCAGGGTTCCAGTGCCAGGAAGAGAATCCCCATAAATTCTGGCTGGAAAAACCAGCAGGAACTGAGGCTCAGGGAAGCTGACCCGGCTGGAGCCCCAGGCAGCTCCTTAAAGGGCCCACGCACGGACTTATCGGACTCTCTCCCTCTAAGCTTGGAGGGGAGGCAGCTCGAGGGGAACCAGAGACATACAGGGAAGAGCTGTTTGGCACTGGAGCAGGGCTGGAGAGGGGGCTTTGTCCGGGACAAACGTGCTGTAAGAGGCCTTTGTTCCTTTGGTGAGCCCTTCCCTGGGGCAGCAGACAGCCACCATATCTGGGACTCCAGCAACCTGGCTCACACTGGTAGCCCTGCCCCGCCCCACCCAACTTTCAGGCCCACCCAAGCTGTTGGTACTTGCTTAACAATAGGATTGGCCTGACTTGGATCCTGCTTCAGGTTTTCCTAAATTTTTTCAAACGAGCAGCATCTGGTCTCAGCTAGCTCCATACTGCTCGTTAAGTAATACACAGAAACAAACACAGGGAGGCAGCGAAAATGAGGAGACAAAGAAACAGGTCCCAAACGAAAAAACAGAACAAAATCCCAAGAAAA